AAAAGATCGGAGTCCGGTGTGATGTGGCCTCCTGGATTTATATTTACCCTCGGAAAACATGGCGGTGCTCGACGCATACAGCAGAGGATGATCGGATAGTCGGGGAATCGGACGAAGTGGTCTTTTTTAGGTACCGACGACCTCTCAGACTTGGAAAATGAAATCGTCAAAAGGTCAAAACAACTGGGTTTGGTGTCTGTGTATTGCAGACTGTAGCTTCGGTTGTGACTCCGCCGGGGCAGCCTTTCACGCAGAACTATTAGCCCCGAGAAGTTCGCGTGGCGCCCCCTTACGGCGAACCGGGGTGACGTCATGGCGAGGAGAGAATTTTTCCCCGACTCGCCCCGCTCTGCCTGTGGATGCTGTGACGACGCTAGCTGTCGGCGCGCTCGCTTCTATTTCATTTTTTTGGCGTGTTTTTTGTAGGAAGTGTAAATTTTTATGTGTGCCTTTATTAAGGTATGACCTGTAGCCACAGGTAAAACTTCAACCAACATTTTAAGCATGCTTGAGAGGGCAGGCAACGGATGAATCGCAGCTGGTATATGAAAATAAAAAAATATGGCCACAATTGCAGGAATATCATTATAGATTTACATCTCGCACAATAAATGCTGTTGATTGTCTGAATGAATTGGCAGGTTATGTATACTATTTTTTTTTTGTATCTCTGCTTTTAAACAAGATCGCTGAAGCAGAAAAGCTGCATGCTCCTCGAGCAACATGCTAAATACAGTCTGGGCCATGGGGAGAGAATCACAAGTAAGACAGCCCAAGTGCAGGAGCAAAGTAAAAAAACAAGGAACGTTTATTATATACATTGCTGGCATTTAACCTTTGCTGGATTCGGATTGTATTTCAAAGGACTACACGGGTGGTATTTGTGGACTTGTTTAGCGAAGATGTCTAGCTCGTTATTAGTCCCTTAAGCCCTAACATTGATACTTAAATCGAACTGCCCTGAAGCTAAAATACCAGAAGCTTTTCTCCCGCAGACTGTCGCCCTTCACAGGTTCCACATTTTCTGCTACTAGTGCTGCATCTACCGCTGGACAGACGTTCGAATGCTTGCTTATACTCCTGTTTTCCTCTGTTGTCAGAGAGTCCAGCTGAAGGGAGTTTGGAGGCCGAGGAAGCTTTTGGGGACCTGCAGCAGTCTCTTTTAAATGGAAATGACAATTCAGACTAAACGGTGTATTTTTTTTAATACCCAAGGCTGGAATAAAGAATGTCAGGGAAAAGTATAAACATTCCAAATTACGGCACCATTGCTGTGCATATTTTGGGCAGTTCAGTAGATATCATACAGGCAACTGGGGGCAATTCGGCCGTTTTTGCTGCTACCATAAAAAAAACTAATTTTCATTAATGTTGCATCTTTAAGAAATATGCCTGCATACGTGTATAAACTATATAATTAATTCACGAAGAAGCTACATTTACGTAAAACAGCCTGGTTCCACGAGCACTTCAAAGATAATCAGATGCAGGGTCTTTAAAACATCTGCGAACCAGCGCATGCAGAGTGGAAGCGCAGAGTCGGGGTCACGAGCTAATTTGCCGACCCCCCAAAGGCCCTTGATATAAATGCCACTTCAAATGTCTTGAAAAGGGATGTAATATTGTCCTAAATCATGAACAGGCAAGGAACAGAATTGCAGCATATGAAACACTTGCGCCACCGCTTCACCGACCCTTCGCAAGATTGCCTTGTGTCGTGTGGACGGACGGGGAGGTTTATCGGCGGAATTGCCTCCTCCGATACTTTCGGGATTTGTAACCCAATTTTAAAGGTAAAAAGGGCAAGCAGGCTTATAAAATGTACGAAAGCACGTCAATATCGCCCTAACTCAACGTCTTGTACACCGGGTACACGAAGTCCAGCTCCTCGAAGAGCTTCCGGGACACAACGCCAAACCGGGAAACCGGTGTTGGGAAGCGAGCCGACGCGAGGTCGCGGAGCGGAGTACTCCCCCTGACGTCACGGTACACCTCACCCAATCAGGGCGCGGCGACCGCAGCGACGCTTGTGTTCGCTCTCGGAGCGCCGTCTGCTAGCAGCGATAGGCAGGCGGCACGGCACGCACGGGGCAAACAGATTTATTTATTTATTTATTTTTTTATTTATTTACAATACTGTGAACCTTACGGTCAACACAGGAGAGAAAAATAAGTTGTACAAGCCAAGCAAAATGCATTCACACTCAAGTGAGCACTTATGCACATGCAGTGGTGCGTCACACCCTGCACATCTGAAGATGTATTCCGCACACATACATTATTCAGTTAAAAATTCGCGCAATGATAATTCAAATGACTTGAGATTAGAGCAGCTGACGACTTCGTTTGGCAGAGCGTTCCACTCTACTATTGTCCTACAAAAGAAAGAATACTTAAATACATCATTTTTGTATTGATACGGAGCAATCGCCCTGACGTTGCTAGTCCTTTGGGAACGAGACGTTGAAGGCCGCAAGTAAAGCTGCGGATCTAGCTTTGTCATTCCAGTCGTTATGGAAAAGAGTTCTTTTAACCTTGATATTTTCCGTCGCTGTGCGAGCGAGTCAAGCTGCGCCTCTTGTCTCATTGAAGAAACAGATTCTGTACGTTTATATCTGGAGAAGATAAATCGAAGAGCCAGATTTTGTATTCTTGCAATTTGTGATTCGTGGCATTTTCTATACGGGTCCCATACAGTGCATGCATATTCTAACAATGGGCGAACATAACACATGTACGCAAGTTGTCGAACATCACTATTGGCATGCCTAAGTTGTCTTCTGAGGAATAATAACTTTTTATAGGCCTTTGAACAAACGTAATCTACATGACTGTTCCATCGCATGGTAGAACTAAAAATAACACCTAAATATTTAAATTCGTCCACCTTTCGCAGTTGCACGCCACCTATGTTATAGGAATATTCTAAAATGTTTCGTTTGTTTGTAATGCTGCAGAATACTGTTTTATCAAAGTTAATTACCATACCCCACCTTTCACACCACAAGTAAAGTTTTTCTAGAGAGGCATTAAGCAAGTCTTGGTCTTCGACTGTACGCACTTTTGAAAACAACATGCAGTCATCCGCAAATAGCTTTACCTGGACAGCTGGCGGCATATCATCTGCAATATCATTTATATACAGTAAAAACAAAAGTGGACCTAATACCGACCCTTGTGGCACACCTGAAAACACTGCAAGGCGGGTAGAGCATGCATCATTGCAGTAGACATACTGTGTTCTGTTAGTTAGGTAAGACCGGACCCACGACACTATATTGCTGTTTAGACCCACAAGGTGAAGCTTTTCAATTAATTTGTTATGAGGCACGCGGTCGAACGCTTTTGAAAAATCCATGAACACGACGTCAACCTGACCCCGCTCATTTACAACAGATGAGAACTCATGCGCACACTCAATTAATTGTGTGACCGTCGATAGACCCCGTCTAAAACCGTGCTGATGTTTGTATATTAAGTTGTTTTCTTCTAAGTACTGAGTGACATGATTTGAAATAATGTGTTCCAGCAGTTTGCAGCAAGTCGACGTTAATGATATAGGACGGTAATTTTGGACTGTCATTTTGTTTCCAGATTTGTGAATGGGTATAATTTTACAACACAACCAGTCTGCTGGCAATTTGGATTGTTGGAGAGAGGCTTGAAATATTATGAAAAGATATCGGGACACCCACTCAGCATATCTTTTCAGAAATGCATTTGAAATGTCGTCTGGCCCCGACGCCTTTTTTACATCAATATTCAAAAGCAAATTAAGTATACCACTTTCCGAGACAACCAAATCTGACATACAAGGTTCATCAGAGCTGCTGACGTGGTCTACCGGCGGGTCACTCGAGACTGTAAAGACTGACTGAAAATACGTGTTAAATTCCTCTGCCACTTTAATGGGACATGATACAACCTCATCGCTTACCATCACTTCTGTTATTACTTCTTTTTTCGACGAGAAAAACCGCCAGAATTTTTGCGGAGATTCCAGCAAGAAACGAGAGAGCACATTGCCACAGTAATTTTCCCTAGCTTGGGAAATAAGATTCTTCAATTGTCGCCCCAAATTTGCAATGTCTGAGGAATTTTGTTTTGCTTTCCTTTTGCGCTTGATCTTTCGCTTTATTTGCAAAATTTCTCTTGTTACCCATGGGTGATGTCGTTGTGCTCTCACGCCCCTTGTCGGAACAAAGTGATATGTACAGTAGGAAACAATACTCTTAAATGTTTTCCATAATTCGGTAACATCACTTAACTGACTAAAATGGTCAAAATGTTCATCTAAATAATCGAGGATGGACACATCATCAGCATTTTGAAAATCTCTGACAGTACGTTCGTGACGAGCATTATCGGCAGCTGTTTTATGTAGCTCTAAGTCAAGAAACACCATTTTATGATCTGACACTCCGTCGAGCACATGTGCTTTATCCGCTTCCACTACGTTGCTAACAAAAAGTAAGTCCAGAATCGATTGGCTCGTATCTGTTACTCTTGTCGGGCTGTCCACTAACTGTTGAAGATTAAAACTGAGTGCCATATCTAACAAAAGCTCGGAGGACGCGATTTCATTTTTACCTGGTTTTTGCTTTGCCCAATCAATATCAGCAAGATTGAAGTCTCCAGTCAAAATAATTTTAGTTTTGCCATTGAAGTGCAACGCCATTTAATCATACAATTCTTCTAAAAACCTCGGGGCGGTGTTTGGTGGCCTATATACAGCACCAACAGCAAACACGTTGCCGTGAACTTTAACCTTACACCATAACACCTCCCCGTTGACAACGCAATCTAAAGGTACCAGGCCCACCGAACTTTTTGCGATAATAGCCACGCCGCCGCCCCTTAACCCTCTGTCTTTCCTAATCATTCTGTAACAAGGCGGAATAACTTCATTATCACCAATACCACTGTGAAGCCATGTTTCCGTGATGACGATCACGTGGGGGTCATGAGTTAGCAAGATTGTTTCCAAATCATCCACTTTATTCACAATACTTTGCGCATTGAAGGAAAGAAGTCGAAATGTCTTTCGATGGGGTTTCCCGGAGTGTGCTTGACGTCATTTTACACTTTTTTGTCGAGTTGGTCGATTTCTTTCTTTGCATATTTGCCCCACATTATCATCCCATTCGAAAACTTGGCCTCCTATCTTAATTTTATCGTGAATCAAGAAGACAGTTTCCCCGTTATCGCGATTGGGTTTACTGGTTTCCCACAACTGTTTGCGCTTTTGAATAGTCTGCCAAGAATAATCGTGTTCTAACGTTATTTTAGTCCCTTTCAAACACCTTCGCTTTTTTAGCACGTTTTCCTTTTCTGCGTAGTCAAGAAATTTAACTACAACTGGGCGGTTTTTGTTTGTTTTTCGCCCCACGCGATGTACACGCTCGACTGTATTAACATGAATTCCAAGTTTTTCTTCAAACACATCACCAAGTACTTTCGACCGCAATGAGTCATTTGTTTCCCCTTGAGCCTCTGGAAGACCGAAAACTATGAGGTTGTTACGGCGGTTCCGATCTTCTAAGTCGACGATTTTTTTTTGGCATTCCTTTAAGTCATCATCGATTGCCTTAACATGTTTTTCAATGCTTATGATTTGAACTTTTTGTTCTTTCATTTCTTGAACTGTTGCTTCAATTTGATTTACTTTTTTTGTTAGACCTTCAAATTTGTGTTCAAATTGCTTTTGGCTATTTTTTATTTGACTTAGATCTCTCATAATCGCGTTTTGTGTGTCCAGAATCGCCTTCACCATCTCTTCCATTGTAGGGTTACCACCCCCTTGGCAGTCATCAGGTCCCGGATTCGATTCAATGTCACCGCTTAACAATAAATCACGAGTGACACAAATGTACTCAATAAATAAGGTTAAGCACATCCGGGGGCAAGGCAGCAGGAAAAGGAAAGTATTGCTTGATCGTTTACAATGCAATGAGTGACAATTACTCACCTGCGTGAAGAAGATCAGAGGATTAGACATAGTGCACACATGAGTGCTGCCTTGCCCTCTGATGGCGAACCGTTCAGACAGCCCTTTTGTAGCTTCGTAGGCCACGGTTGATGTCGATGCCGATCTTGTGCTTTCGTCAAAGACGAGGCGCTTGTTTCTGCCGTCGTCCTCGTTGTCGGCGAGGAAGGTGATGCCGCCTACGTGTCCTTGAGTAGTCTTCAAACTTGATAGTGGCACAGTGACGGAGCGGTCCGCTGGGTCATGCTGGCGCGACAACGGACAGGCCAAAGCAGCCTGAGCGATTAGGAGCTGCGTGAAGAAGATCAGAGGATTAGACATAGTGCACACATGAGTGCTGCCTTGCCCTCTGATGGCGAACCGTTGAGACAGCCCTTTTCCCGGTGCGTCGGCGCCCTTCTCTCCCGCTCTTCACCTCCTCGCTTCGGGTCGTGGTGGCAACGGCGGTTTGGAGCGGAGGTGTAAAAAACGGGAGTTTTCTTAAGGGGTGTCCAAACAGGACACTACGAAACCCGCGACTCCGGCAAATCGTGCCGCGCTCTGCCGCGATCCGCTTCCGGCCGTCGGAGGGATATTTCCCTCAGTCAATTCTTCCCGGGGGGAAACTTCCCTCCGTCAAATCTCCCCCTCGCTTCCTCCACGGCGGCCTTGCTCTGCTTATCACGTGGGTCCGGAGAGCCACTCACACGCTCTGTTGGCTGTCGGTCAAGGCCTCCGCTCACAATACGGAACCGCATCGGACGCCATCACGACGAAAGTGAATCTCGACAAAGAAAGCAGATCCGAGGCGGGCGAAACGCACCCTTCGACGCAGGAATGTCCCAAATCCACCCAAAGCCGGATCTCCTTGGCCTTCGAGCCGAGGCGACGGCGGTACGCGAGGGCGTTGGCGAGGTGAGACAGACGCAGGTGGCGTGTGACGTCAATCTGAAGAGGAGAGCAGTCGTGATCGTAAAAAATTTCTCGACTCCTGCAAACATTTTCACGACTCCGACAGACCGTAAAAATAGAAGCGTCCGCTTCAATTTTCACGATTTGTCCGAGTCGCGTGTTTTGTAGTGTCCTGTTTGGACACCCCTTTAGACCGCGTTTTCCCCTCCGCTAAGCCCTCCACAACGAAGAAGCCTCTGCTGCGCCTGTGCGCCGATGGCCTTGACTGCAGGGTTTGGGGTCTCGTAGCGGGTTGCGGAGGGTGTTGGGGGACAGCGAAAACGATCTACAAAATCTCCCTAACGTCGACTCGCAGGGCCGCTCAATATTTGACATCACTGCACGGGCGCGGATCGCGCGGGAACTTTAAATTCGGTATTTGGAAATTGTTTTTTTTTTTTTTTTACATCACAAATACTGAATTCCCAAGTTCCGAATTGCGAGGATAATGTCCAGGCATCGTTTTCAATCGTTTCGTATAATAAAAAAATGTGCATGTTTTTGACGTGTCAGTGCCCCTTTCAAGGAGGTTCTGAAAACCTGGAAACCACAGCAGCGTAGTCTGACAGCAGGGGATGACTACTTCCATCCGCTATTTTGTGGCTATGATTCATAGGAACTCTCTGCGATTCCTCAGGAATAAACAATACAAAAAAGTAATGACATTTTTGTGCTCCGCGAAATTCGATGGTTTTAGCGGGAAACAAGCTCCGCCCATTGCCCAAGCTCTCTCGGTATAAACGGCTCTGCTGTTGTCTCACGTCGCCAAGCACAACCGAGGTCCGAGCTCGAGGTACGAGCCGGTACGAGCACGCTTGACGAGCATGGAACGGGTCGAGGTTGCCAGATACCGGATGAATGATTTGCTAGCTCCTATGCCCTTTGCAACCGGCGGCAGTTTGCGCCTGCGAAACTGCCTGCCTGGCCGTGCAACTGACCTAACATCAAAAAGCAAGCTACCAAAAATACGCACCAGGGGTTGCGTACAACACTTAAATTTCGATTTAATACATTTTAGAAACGACCTCGCACAAGGTTACGTAACTTATAACTAATTGATGTGCCATAAATGCCCTATATGACCAACAATTCTCACCGAAAATATTGGCTCAATACACATTTACTTTCTGATGGCCCGTGCGGAACGAAGAAGAAGCTGCATGCACATAGATAAAGCCGCAGAGCCTGACACAGCTCAAGGTTAAGGAGCACGCGACAGGACTAAAATAGGCGACCCTCAGACCCCCGTAGTATATCAGGTCATGACCGGTTGTGCATTAGTCTCACCAAATCGCAGCTTTGTCGTGCGTTATGGCGATAGCTGCTACTCACAGTGACACTGTTATTAATTTTGGTTTGAGCTAGTTGGTTCGTGCCAACTTAAAACATATAGAGCGCAAAATGAATGCACAAAGACGAGCAAACACAACGTTCAACAAACACCCCAGCGAAAAACGCAATCGCTTTCGAATCTGAACCTTTACCGCTTTCCTACAGTGACACCTTCTGACCTTTGCAGCTTCAAATAACAACAATATATATATTTATATTAGTAATAATATTTTTATTTATTGTGACCAGTAACAGCCGAAGCCTAAGCACTGATGCACTCGTTACTAGTAAACAAGAATAAATATAATAAAAACATAAGAAAGGTAATAAATTCCAACAAAATAAAACAAAATACTCAGCAGTGACAATGTATATACATCAACCACATACATGGCGCAAGCACTTTTTAAATCGGCACAAATCTGTATTGAAAGTGCCTTTATTAGATGAGTCTAGATGGTTTAAATAGCTTTGAATGTGACCCGATCGTGACATAAATTTTGTGGGGTCAGCGTGGACCGTGCGGTGATTTCGAACATTTCTTCCAGGTATATGCTAATGCACAGATGAGACTAATAAGCTAATATCGAAGTAACAGTATATACATTTAAACAAAAACATAAGGTCTCGCGAACACCGTCTTGTTGCAAGTTCAGATGTCTGCAATGATTTTAGTACTTCAAGGTTTACTTATGAGTCGTATGAACAACTACAATGACAAAATCCAGCAATCCTTTTATGTATAGGTTCCAGATTTCTTAAAGCAGTCATACTAAGACTGTTCCAGATCCTTGGACAAAATCATGTTTTGGGAGATATATGCTCTGGTAAAGCATAAATGAAAGATATACACTCGGACAACTTTTGATAAATACTGAGTTTACACTGAAAAGTCTAAAACAAGAGCTCACAACATGCGAAACATGCGGGTTGATGAAAGTAAGTTCGGAGTCAAGAAAAACTCCAAGGTCTTTTACACACACTACATGGTTAATGGCCGCTATTTCTGAGTGGTACACAAATTAAGTAGGATCAGTGGTAGGCGTAAAGGATATAACATTGATTTTATCAAAGTTGAGTGTAAGACCATTGTCTAGACACTACTGACACATGGCGTTAACATCTTCTTGAAGTTGTTCACTTAATGTCAATATGTTTTTGTAGATTTCGAGATCGTCTGCAAACGGCAAGAGACGTGAATGATGAACGACGTCTTGGATGTCCTTAACAATAACATGAAAACGAAGAGGTCTAAGGTTGGACCCCTGGGGTACTCCAGATGGTACAGAAAAGAAGCGTGATTTTGCGTGAGCATACCTGACCCTATTCGCTCTTCCAGAAAGATAACTGCTGAACCAAAAACAGTAATCATCACTTAGCCCGCACACAGACCGTTTATGTAACAATAGCTTATGATTTACATGATCGAATGCCTTACTACAGTCGAAATACACAGCATCCGGTTTTTCTCGCGAAAAAACAGTGGGGGCAACTTCAATTAGGAAACACAATATTCGTCTCAACAGAACGACCACTCATGAAACCGTGTTGCGTATCAGGTATTACGCGCTTGAAATAATGTGCCAAATCTTTTTGGATAATATTTTCGAGCACCTTCGAAAAAAAAAAAAAAAAAAAAAACAGTAATCAAAGATATGGGTCTATAGTTCGGAACATTTGTTCTGTTACTAGGTTTAAAAAAGCGGGAAACTGATTGCTTCAGTGACAAATTAAATATGTGTTGAAGTACCGGAGCTAGAATGTCGACGCACTCTTTAACAATAAAGTGTAGTATGCCATCAAGGCCGTATGACTTTTTAGATGGTAGCTGACGAATCGACCCTATAAAGTCGTCAAGACTCAGAAGACGAGGTGGAACGTGGTCTTGAACAGCATGTAAGACGTCTGAGCTACCAACAGTAAACAATAAGTAGGTGCAAAAAAAAAAAAAACAAAAAAAAAGGATCTGCGAAGAGATTGCACACAGTTTTAGGGTCGGTAGAATATTTTCCATCTATCTTTAGTGACGTGAGTACATGCCTATTGGACGTGCGCGTTTTAACTAGACGCCAAAAACCCCGGGGACGCTTAGAAACGTTGCCTTCAACGTGGTTTTGATAAATGTTTTATCTGAGTTACTACCTGAGTTAAAGCAGCGACGGCTTCGTCGAAGGAACCTAAGCGAAGCACGTCATCCCAAGCGTGCATTGCATAAAAACGGTACAGGTCGAGATAAGACACATTGGCATAATCGAGCCTACATATGCTTATGCTGTTGACAGGTACAACTTGCACTTTAAGGTTAATAGAAAATGGGACATGCCACACATCAACTGGAACGAATGGACTGCTGACACCAGCGACATTATAAGTTTCGAGATTTCAAAAAAAAAAAAAAAAAAAAACGTTTAAAGCATTACCGCATTTATTTAGACATGAATGCAGACATTTAGACGTGATATAGATCATCGTAATTAAGAAAAAATTAAAGCTGATTGCCTTTTGAGAGCTGACGGCTAAGGAATCGCTGCTACGCCAGTTTTCAGGCACGCTGAAATCGCCGAGAAGAACGATATTAAAGTTAGTAGGGTCAAGTTTTTCCGATAAGGCATCCAAAACTTGTCCAAATGCTTGAAAAAGGGAGAGACGGTGGTAAATATTAATTTCCAGTTAGAAGATTGTTTGGCCCTCCCGTTTTTACCTCAAGCCATACGCATTCTTCGTAACTTTCAAGATCCAAATGTCGAAGTGCCGTAATATTTTTGGGTATGGCAATCAGTACACCCCCACGGTATTTCTGCGGTCTCTACGAGCAGTAGTTGTCAGAAAAGTATTCGCATGATGAGGTATCGCACGTGAGCCAGGTTTCCCAGACACCCCAGCCTCTGAAAGCACAGCACGTTCGACACACTTTTCGGCTTTTGTACGGAGACCTAGCTCTTACATTCTGATAGTTATCCGATAATGTTTTGAGTGATTTATGTGGTCGCAGTTTCGTATTCGTCAGTTTTTAGTGTGCGCCAATATTT